TTACAGGTTTGGAATGACATGAGGGTGAGTAAATGATGACAGAATTTTAATTTTGGGTGAACAAACATTTAAAAAATTCCCTCTGACTGTATTGAAAACGCCAGATCTTATGTTGTAGAATCACAGAGCTGGGTAATCAATAGGGTAAATATACTCAGATATTAGGTTCTAAATGATTTTAGTGATCAATATCATGAGGATTATGTCCAAACACAACCAAAAACACCTGATCATATTTTCAGTTACAGCAAAAAAATAAGAGTCAAGGGCCCAAACAAAGCAAACACCGATCACCATAATGGTGACCCAAAATGGTGACTCAAAATGGTGACTCTTTCCTTCAGTGATTCTGCTTGTTAACAGCAGGCGTTCATCCCTAATGGTCAATCATCAGCCAATTAATCACTTAATTATCTAAGTAAAGGGGATGTCTAATGCTATTTCATGCATTCTGACTTATTTACACAGTTAAAGAGTTGGATTCGGATGATGGAGTATTTCTGTGCCAAATACACTCCTTCAGGATTCGTATACATTTTGTAAAGTTCTTTTTCGAGTACAGCCCTGTAAGACGTCATAAAGGGCAGCATTTTTTGTATGGACACTTCTCCCAGAAGAGCGCGTGCACATGTCAACCAGAGTGAAAGCAAGAGCACGCCCATCAACGTGCTTCGTTCGGTTTACGGAAGCCGTTGTCAGCGCTGTCCTTTTGTTTTTAGACCACAAAATCAATGTGTTTTGGGTTGTGAGGGAAAGATAACCTTGTTCAGCTTAGTTTTTTCCAGGGCAGCAACTGAGTTGTGCAAAATTAGCACTTTAGCATACCAGCAGCAAGGTCGACCGTGCCCCCTTGTGTGAAGGCCCACTCCTCTCAGAGTGTGCCTTTCTCTTGGGCTCTAGCGCATGGCGCCTCGCTAACAGACATCTGCAGAGCTACAGACTGGGCGACACCCAACACATTCGCCAGATTCTACTATCTCTGAGTGGAGCCAGTGTCCTCTCATGTATTCACTTTAACCAGCCGGTACTAGGATCGGCTCTGGTGTCTTTGCTTGCTCGCCATTCCACTCCACAGACTGGATACGTGCGATATATTCCTCAGGTGAGCTTTCCCACAAGCCCTGAGTTCCTCCAGCGCTGTTGACGTCAACACCAGAGTCTATGCCTTAGGCAGCTTTCGCGTTGGCTAGGTGCCTCCATGTGCTTGGTTCCCCACTGGTGACCCCCACATGTGTATTTCCACTGTAAGCCTCTCCGAGCATGTGTCTTTCCCTTGGCAAGCCACCTTACCACTCCTGGGGTTGAAACTAGGGGTGTCGCAATATACCGGTGTTGACGATAATCGTGATATTCAAGGCATGAAATATCGACAACGTGTTAATTTAGAGTGTGGCAATATACCGGTATTGGCGATAACCACAATGTTTAAAATGAATAGGACTGTTATGATGACAAATAACAACATAACATACCTGGTTGACCTCTCAGGTGGCTGTATTGCACTCGCTGACACCTATCAAACAAGAAGACGCAGGCCGGGCCGCGCAGCTACTCTGAGAAGAATGTCGTCTGAGCGAGAGAGTGAAACACTGTCCACACCCGAAAAAAAGTAAGCTCGCCTGTATGGGAGTTCTTCGGCTCAAAAGAAAACAGCACTTTAAAGGGGGTCGCACACCGGACGAGAAGCGCAGCGCCACGTCTTTAAAATTCGTGTACACACACCGGCTTTGCCATTCGGCATCCGTCCGCGGCGCCCAGCAACGGCTCAGGACATTGTTCAAAATCCTGCCGCGACACGGAGCGCCATTTACATAGTTTTATATTAAATGTACATTATATTTGTCTCAAATTATCTTAAATGACTTCACCCTGTGCTGCAATATTCATTTAGTTTTACATTCATTTACAGAAATCAGCTGCTTGAATGAAAATTGCTGATGTTATCGGATTTTCAGGTGATATTCTCAATTCATTCAGTTAATGGATGCTCTGAGGTTAAGTGTTCAGTTCACAGACTCAGCAACTATTGTATTTAATTGTACAGTACAATCACAACATAGTACAGACATTATCTTAATTTCATAATGTCCTTAAACATAAGAATACTGCTGGCCATAAACTGAGAAAGTGCGCGTCCGGTGTGCGATACCTCGAGTTGTCCTACACGCGACGCGGCGCTGCAGAATGTGTGGCTAGCCACCAAAACCTGTTAACAGGGGTTTTCTGTGTTCATACATTTAATAAAGGGTGATTATTAAGAACCCCGTTTTCTTTACTCATCTTATTTTTGTATTTGTATTTGTACTTGATTTTTTTTGTTTAAATCTGCTATCTGCATGACTTTATTGGTGCCGGCGCAACAATAGGTTTAAGTGCTTTTCAGTTCTTCAGGAAACATTCAGACAGTGTTTCGCTTCAGCAGTTTGAAACCAGATAAACTTCACATGCTTGTCTTCCTTCACAAACAAAATATCATAGATTGAGCAAGTAAAAATACATGTGCCTTGTGTTTATCAGTACCCTTATGTTTGTTGGGTAAAAAAGAAAAACTATATAAACAAAGTAAAAATTAATTTGACTGATAACCCCCCTCCCCCTCCCATATAGATTCTATAGATATCGCGATATATCGGCATTGTGAATTCTTTTGGCCACAATAACCGTGGTGTGAAAAATCTAACACCGTGACAGCCCTAGTTGAAACATTCCACCCTGCAGGCTGGACACCCCAGTGTTTCTCCATGTAGCCCCTCTGTGTCATATGTGTATTCTGTAATCCCCCCCTTGCCTACGGGCAGGCAATAATTGCATATTTCCACTGTGATATGCTTCCCAGTGTACCTTGGTAATCCTGTGTTAAGTAGGAGTCCTTCGTCCGTGCTAGTCTCACGACAGGGAGCTCAGACTTACGCAGGGCACTGGAAGACAGCCGAGGTGGCGTGATTAGACTGGGAACCCCATTTCGTCGTCATTCGACGTAACTCGAAGTGACTACGAAAGGGAACGTCTCGGTTACGTATGTAACCCTCGTTCCCTGAGTAGGGAAAGGAGACGTTACGTCTCCCTGCTACTTCGCTGTACCGCTGGAACAGCCATGAGTTCAGTCTTGGCTCCTCAGCAAGTAACTGAATATATTGCCAGCATACTTCCTTATATACCCACGAGGTGGGGCGGAGTCACGCTATGCAAAATCCGCAGACCCATGGCATTTCTTTGGCATTGGCTCGTTTTGTAATACTCAAAGTTGATAGGCTTTCTAAGCGAAACCCCATTTTGTCATAATTTCATCATCAGGGCAAGTCAAATTGTAAGATAGATTATTTTATTAATTCACGAGTTCACACTTACAAATAAGTCAGATAGAATAATTCCTGACTGTGAAATAAGCCAGGAGTGAGGAGTCGGGGTGGTGGAGGGATGCTGGAACTGTCAAGGAATGTTAGGTGAGTTGACAGAGAATATATATATATGCTTCCACTTGTGCTGATAGGGCAGACATGTAATTGTTTGGTGACTAGTTGATTGGAATGATTTATTTGAACATGCTCCTCCCGAACCTTGTTTATAAAACATAATTTATTACTTTGAAACTGTAACAAATTTGAATTTGGAATTATCTATGTGCCTCGTCATCTTCAGTGTAACGTTCAATTTAAATTGGCATTTGGATTAAATTGGTAATTTGACCTAAATGAGAATCCTGCAATCCATGAAAGTAAATGTTTTGGTATTTTAAGCTGTAGTAGGTCATGTTGTAATGTATGTGGCCTTCACAACAGGTTGTAAAAGGTTAGTGAGCAGGTTTGGGGAACAATAGAGACAAAACCAGGAATTAGTAAATGAATTTTATTCTCTCAAAACAGGAAACAATTAAAAATTCATATTGTGTGGCAATTTTCCCATCTCCATGAACTGTGACTCACTCCTCATTCGACAACCAGTGTCTGTTGTGTTGAATAACACAACGTGTATAAACATTGTCCAGTCCACTCTGAGATCAGAGACTTGTACAGCACCATCCAATGGGATCCATTTTTATAACATTTTATTTATAACAATAATAAAATAAAATATTCTTGCAACCTTTTCAAGTCAACCTTGAATAAATATAAATTTTCTTCTCAACTCCCCCCCCCCCCCCCCCCCCATGTTTTTTAGTTTTCTTTTGTCTGTTTGATTCTCTTTTCCTTTTTTCTTTTCAAAACTTCAAGATAAGATGAGTGCCAAGAGGTGGAATGTTGCGTTGAATGTCTGAACCGTCGGCCACAAAACCTCGACCCCGACCTGAAACCGTGGACGCCACTGGATCGGGGGGTGGGGGGACGACAGAGCCTCCGGTCCACATGCACTGTACATTAAACTGCAAAAAATTCCCAGATGTCTCTATCAAAACATGCTGTATTACTCAGACGGTGTGCTCAATCCATGTTGCAGACCCTTTTCAACATGCTTGCTTTGAATGAATGAGCCATTCTAGTGTAACAGAACACAGTGGGATCATGACAGACCCATTCGATAATCTACAGCTCTGTCTCCACATGAACACATTTATGGCTGTATTTGAAGGGAGAAATATAAAATTTTCATGTTACGTTTTTATATCGAAATAAATATTGTACATTTATTGTTTTCCTCAACCATCTCTTGCTTTTTTTCCCGTTAATAATATGAGATACAAAGTCTCACCAGGTCACACCTGTAACCGAGATCTGTAAAATTACAGAAGAATATTCTAAAGGATGACAATCACGTCGTTATCATTTTGCATTCAGTCCCTTTGAAAATCATGCACTAGAGAATTTCATATTAAAAATAATACAAACTGTTGAAAATGGCTGATCTGGTCATCCTGAAATAAGTTTCTCCCTCTCTTTCTTTTTTTTCCCTTTTTTTTTTTGCAAGTCTCGAGGAAAATAACCATAGAATTTTTAAAAAAACAACAACTTTGCATCCATGCAAAAAAAGAAAAAGAAAAAAAAAAGAAAAAATTTATAAATTTCATACAGTACATCAACAAAGAGAACATCATACCGGAGCACAAAAAGGTCCATTATTTATTTATGTTTATTTTTTCAGAATTGTGTTGTTTCCTGAATCAAACAGGATCTCTGGCCGTATCCATTTCCTCATCACCGAACTTTGAAGATCGATCCAGTGGAGATCGGGCTTGATGTAGGGTGATTCCCATGAGGACGTCATCTCTCCTAGGTTACCCTTTCCTATTCCATTTTAACCAAATGCTTCTCTCTTTATAGATCTTCTTTTGACAGCTTGGCTTATGGTAATGGCTACAACGCATCAAGTTCTAGGTAAGAAACACTGACATCTCTTTGCATACAACAGAGAGAAAACAGCCGAGTAAAACAGTGTCTTCCTTTTTCTACTGTTAAGAGTCAGACTCTGCCGAATCCCAGGCTGCATCTCTTCAGCTGAATGGAGAAACTTCCTGTGGCGTTCTTTCCCTGCGTGCGACAGCAGCATACAATTTCTTTTCATTAATTTTTTTGGCAGAAGGACGCAGGCCTTTTCTTTGCCTCTTGTTGCACGGGCTCAGAGGACACAACATCAAGCATGCAGTGTAACCAGGACGTGACCCGTCGAGACCCTCTCCTCTCTGTCAGTGCTGGAGCTACTCACGCCGCTCTCTACCGCTCACCTCCTCGTGCCGCTACGACCGAACGTTGGAACTGTCCAGGCCTGAATCTGGAGGTTTACTACTTAAAGGTGCCAAGGTTGGGTCCACCAATGAGGTCGGAGGGAAGAGCTTGTACCAGCCAATCACCATGTTGGTCAGCTCTAAATCATCTAACAGGATCTGGGCGGCTCCCATGAAGGACTTGTGGTCCATGCGTCCATAGTCCCCCCAAACAATAATCTGTAGAAAGAAAAGAAAGACATGATTAGTCAAAGAGTTTCCGGAGATGTGGTGCATTGAACTGCATCCTGAACTAAAACTAAAACTTTTTTTTTTTTTTTATTGTGATTTGAAATAAAGCTGAAATAAAATAAAATAAGATATAAATATTGGATTAAAAAGTTAAATTAAAATTAGAAACTGGGCAAATAACTAAAATAAAATAATTTGAAGTATTAAAATGACTAAAACTGAAATAAAAATAAATTAAAGTTAAATAAAGACACTTACAAATGAGTAAGAATTAAAATGAAAACTGGAAATGTAAAAATAACTAAAAAACAATTAAAAATGTTAATAAATACTATAATACATAAATGTGGTGAAAACATGTCTAGGTCAAATTTAATTCCAACATCAAAAGAAAACACTAGGAAAGAAATGATATTTGGCATAACGAAAATGATGCCTATTTTTGGACCATTACGGTTTTTGTGACATTATTTTCATAACAATTTGCCTTTCATGACACTTTCAAGTACACACTCTCTACCATACACTTAGTAAAGTGAGAAAATAAGATGCAGCCCTGATGGTGTTACCTGTAAAACCTTCCCCTCAGGGTTCTCCTCAAACTGAAGCTGCTGTTGATAAAGAGGATCCAGAGTTTTTCTAGCTGTCCGCGTTTTCTTTTTATTGATGCATTTCCCATTGTCCAGCAGATATACTTTTACATAAGGTGCTGCAAATGGAAGATTGCAGGGATTTACATATAAACCTCACAAAATAGTTCAAGAACAGGAAAAAGCGGTATTGTGTCACGATCAGATTGAGTAATGAGGTGTACCTGGGGTCTGTTTGTTCCCTGGTTTGCCCACCAGGCCTCGCGCCCGAATAACTTCAACATCCAGCCTTTCTTTCCTATGTACCATACCAATCTGGATGTCACCTGTGGAGAAACCACATCCAAACTCTTAGAGCAGACAAAGGGTCTCTTTATAGAAACTATTTGATGAAAGGTAACAGTGTTATTACAGTGCTATGGACAAATCATTTTCAATATTAAGGGAATATTTCACCACACAATTCTGTCATTATTCAGGTTTTACTGTATTTTTTATGAAACCTGAGAGGTTCCTGTCCCTCTATTGCAGGGATTCCCAAAGTGTGGTGCGCGCACCCCCAGGGGTACGCGAGCTGTCACCAGGGGGTGCGCGAGAGGAAAAATGCAATGGCGGTCTGTTTTTTTAAATGGGATTTTTTCCATACAATAAAAAAAAAACATGAACGGTAAACATTTCCTTTGTAATCGCTTATATTTTAAATTAAAAAACTATTATTTATTAGTTTTTAATAGAAACGAATAAGACAGCTGCTGTCTTTTAAACACTGCTCTGCAGCCGCTAGGCTATAATATGTCACATTATCAACTTCTAAATTCAAATGTGCTTTCGCGCGTTAGCCAGTGCTGTCATAGCCTATATCACAACTATTGAGTGTTTTCAACCACATAATGTTTATTTTAAGTTTCACACATTTAAATACACATAAGTACTAGCAAAACAATGATTTTGATTTTGCTGATATCTATGGATAAGGCAATAATAATCCTTTTCATTATAAGATGACATGTTATATTCATTGTGAGAACGTAGCTTCAGATTTTATCCTATTCTTCTCCCAGTTCACCAGCCTCTTACGTTCATGTATTTCGTGAGAAGGGGAGAAACTGACGTGTTGTAAATCCAACAGATCCGATTCTTCTCTGAACTGTGGCACAAACTAACATGACGCCGCCCATCGCGCATACAGCTCAACTAACGCAATCGTTATGAAGGCGTTTAAACAACACAACGCGTCCACTTACACATATTTGACAATCGGAATATCAGTGTTTCATGTATAGCTAATACATTTGTGAATATTTTTGATAAAAAAGGAAAAATGACATAAAAGCAGATCCTCATTCATTCAGCGCTGTGTTGTGGTTGCGCTGTGTCCCGTGACAAGCAATGACGCGTCACCATGGAAACATTAAAGTGACAAATTCTAAATAACGGTCGCATTGGTGTGAAAGGGTTAAAAGTGGAAGCTTGTGCGTAGCTTTGTTGCATTATATTGAAACTTTGTTGATGTTGTTATTGTCATGTGTGTTCTGGTTATTTGAGCATGATAAAACATGAGTCTTTATATGGCAATAAAACAAAGCTTTGTTGCGTAAAAAAAAAAAAAAAAATTAAGTGGGGATTGGGGGTGCGCCAACCCGGTTGGGACATAGAAGGGGGTGCGCAAGGAAAAAAGTTTGGGAACCGCTGCTCTATTGAATGCCAAATCGCCAATATGCTATTATTACGGAGCTCCGCCTATGATTATTTATCTTCGTTAATTGTTCTTATTCTGTTCATTGGTTATTTTATTAATGAAATGGATTTTTTTCTCTTGAAACTGTTGGCTGACAATAAATCACATTTAACTAATCTTAATTGTCAAATTATGTTTATCTCATGTATTGTAAAATGCTGTAATTTGAGACTAGGCATTGGTCTACAGCATGTAAATGATTCAATTCCTTCATTATCTACACGCTTTAACAATTTAAGTCTGAATTGTTCATATGCAACTTCTCTTTGTTTTTAGTAGTCAGCCTCAGACGCTCGATCGCCTGCTAACACATATGGGGGTTGGAACAGTTCAGTAAGCTTCACGGTGGGGGTGGGCAATACAAAGGTGTAAATCACCGATCTTTCATACAAAGAGTGCTGGCTTGCCTGATAATTAGTGTTTTAAACAGAGTAAGCAAAGGTAAAGTGCCAGTTTCAGGATAACTGTTTCAATGTGTCCAAATGTAATTTTATTAAGCTATAAAATTGTGATGTATTTAAAGGTTCTACATGAAAGTGATCAATCCAAGTGTTCAACTGGCTTTAGATTTTTTTAATCAGTGTGTTATGATTGTCAAAAATCTTATATCTTATCTAAACAAGTGCCCTTGCCAACTTTATAGAAACGAATTTGAGTGGAACAGGAGCCTGGGCTGAGGAGATACAGAGCTTGTTTATTTGCAATCAAACTCGTTTTTTAATAAGTATCCTGATACTGTTCTGAGACTTCATGTTAACCTTGAAAGCCTGACAAAAACTGCTTTAACAGAAACATTGAGCACCTTCAGAAAGGTTTGTCAGGTATGGTACAGCGCAATGGAGGCTCTACTGGAATGTAAAAAAATTTTTTTGTAATGTTATAACTTGCCATTATTTATTAAATCAAATGCTTGACCATAATAGTCTACTGTCCCTTATTTTTCAATAAGAATGGTAAAACACAAATCCTGTCGGCCAACATCAGTTAAGAGGAAATATTTACAAGGGAGTGAGGTTTTACTCGCACAGGTCTTACGAGGTCGTCTTCGTTACATAAAAAAACAATTGCTTACATAGGGTTTTGATTACTAAATTTGGTTATGTGAATGTGATTTTTAATAGAATCATATTGATAGTTATGATACTTTTCTTGCAATCTCCTTTGGAGCGGTTTAACGAATACTCGTGAAAATGATCTGATGCGTTCACCCCATAACTTGTGAAACATACTGTATGTGAATAAAAGTTCAATTACATTAAATGATCATTTAAATATCTTAAATATGTTCTGAATATAAAGCGACCATGCCTCTTCACAAAACTTGGATTAAACCGCTCATCATTTTATGACGACTTTATGACCTTTTGGATCTTCTAAGCTTTGGTTACCACAAATTTCAATGGAGGGATCAGAAACCTCTCATTTTCATAAAAAATCTCTTCATTTGTGTTTCAAAGATTAACCAAAGATTAACATGATATTGAGTAAATGTTGACCTTTTTTTTTTGGATTAACTATTCCTTTAAAGGATTCATTTCTGTTAACAAATGAAAATTATACCGTAATTTACTCACCCTCAAACCATCCTAGGTGTTTATGACTTTCTTCTTTCAACCGAACACAATCAAGGTTTTATTTAATATAACTTTGATTGTGTTCCGCTGAAAGAAGAAGTCATAAACAGCTAGGATGGCTTGAGGGCGAGTAAATTATGGGATAATTTTCATTTTTGGGTTAACTATTCCTTTACGCATACGCAAAGCATACAGTTCGCATAATGTAAATCTCATCATAGTAAACATACTGTATGCGCATAGCCCAATTATTCTAGTATACTTTGTGTATTATAAATACTATATAGAATGTCAAGAAGGATATCTGTTCGGCTGTACGCATACGCTAAATATTTGTCAAAACTGAAGTTTGACAGTGTCTAATATAACTCCAGAGAGAGTTGTTCATATTAACAAAAGAATAAAATAGAGACCCATGATACTAACCCATTGGAGGTGTGGCCAATGTCTGTCTCCCTGCCAGCTGGGCTGGGCCAAGACCATCCAAAAACTCAGTGAACTGGCTGTCTGATGAGATCTTCACTCCAGGGAAGATTAGACTATTAATAGATAATGGACAGAAAATCAGTAAACTTTGTGCTAAAGGCTTCTTGCAAGACAGTTCTTTAAAGATATCATCACTGGTGCAAACCCAGCCAACCAGCAATGGTGGTGATGACATCATGTGATTTATGGAGTGGTGGACCATCATATTCAAATAGATTTTTACAGCACTTACTTTCCAGGTTTTGCCTTTTCACCATCGTCCGTGGCCTCTCGGCTGGGCTGCCGTGTCATCCTGCTCTTCATCTCAACGGCTAAACCCGTCTCCACACTCCGCTGGATTGCCAGCCGCACTGGCTTCTTTTTCTTACCCTCCTCTAAAAATTACAACAAGGGGAAGGGAAGATGAGAAAATAAGACAAACGCGTGACACTATGACCACCCGTTCCACCCCACTGTTTTGAGTCCATCTCAAGTAGTTTTGTGGTCTTGGTCTTATGAGCATTTGGACTCGGCCTTGACTTGGATTCGGGCCGAGTCCAGTCAGGAGATCTTCAACTCATGCATATGATCTGCTTTGAGCTATTGTGTATCTCTAGACTGGAGCAAACTGTGTGCACGCTGTTTGCGTGACACTGACATGAAACCAGACCTCATTCCCCCCAAAGAATATTTACATTGTCTGAATTGTTCAGAGCCTCTTCAGGTCTGTCTTTACTCAGACTCAACTTACTCAGGTTTCAGCCTGGACTCCAACTTGTATGACCTGGTCTGAACTAGAACACTGCCAACCCACATGCATCTGCCATTAGTTGAGCAAACTCGTAGCCCCATCCCAAACGTATGCCAGAAGAGTGGAGCCAGAAGTCAAGGTTTATTTATAGTTGTCTGCTCATCAAACTGGGTTGGAGAAAGTGTTTTAGCACCGGAAAACACAATACATTTCACCCTTAAAAAAAAAAAAAAATTACAACTACTGAATGAGATACAAAAAAAAAAAGACATGTTATGATCAGCAGGGGGCGTCAGTCTGCCACTCTGAGCAGCAGGACATCCTGTGTCCCACAGTCAGCTTTGACACATCCATCCATCGACACAAACATACATCACTCATATACGTCTCTCTGGCTTTCCGATGGTCACAAACCCTTCACAAAAAAATTTGTGCTGACAAATAAAGCTTTTAAAAACACAAGACACTGAAGCACACCTGATATGTAACTTCATTCTTACCTCTGTCTCCCTCGTCAAAGGAGTTCATGCAGGGGAAATAGATAGCCAGTGCCTCGAAGGAGGCAGACAGGCTGAGCCGGCTCTGCGAGCGCTGTATCCGCATGCCGGGGACAGTGGCGCTGCCATCCTGCCCTTGTCTGCCCATTTTACCACCCCGGCACCCTCAAACACCTCTAAGGACACTGAAGAAGGGTGGCAGATGTGTATAGCTGATGCCGTGAGACGGTTTTGTAGAAACAAGTTTGGCAGGATTGTGTTCGGTAGCAGCTGCGAGTCTTATTAGTTCTCAGGTTGATATGCGGTGAGGATGACTGTCTGACTGTCTCCTCTGCAGCGCGCTACTTCTCATCTAAAGGGGTGGGAGGGGGAGACAGTGGCATGTGCACGTGTTTCACAGAGGATGTGGCCAATCAGAGGCACAGAATCTAAGAGACCCCTAAATGCTTCTCCAGGAGACAGAGCTCTGCCTAGAGATATGACTGAACACAAACACAAACATTACTTGCCTTCTGACTGCAGCTTCATCAGTCACCACACACACACACACACGCCCTCACTGACACACAATTATATGTGCACAACAGTGTTGAGGAGAGGATAAAAGTAGCAAAGCTACTAACTTGATTACATTTTTTAGTAGCTTGACAATAATTCAGCCGTTCTCATGCAGCTTTTCCAGTAACAAGCTACATTTTCCATGTAAATGATACATCACTGCTTTTCATGTCGCATTGTATTGTGCACGCAGCTGTACAGCAGCGTGAACAGAAACAACAGATGGACGAAGACAAGTCAATCTACCTTAAAATGCAGATGATGCCTGTGGTCCCTTGTCAATTATGGAAAACCCTTTCTCAAACTAATAAGATTGATTACCTGATTTAACATCACTTCTGAGACTAAGGTCACACATTTGTTATTAGTCTACCCAGTAAGATATTCTTGTTTTGAAAGAAATGAATACTTTTTTTCAGCAAGTAAAAGTGAAGACTTTTACATTGTTACAAAAAACTATTTCAAATTAATGTTGTTCTTTTGAACTTTCTATATCAAAGAATAATACAAATTCCATCACATTTTCTACAAAAAGATTAAAGCAACTTTTTTCAACTGATAAAAATAAGAAATGTTTCTTGAGCAGCAAATCAGCATATTAGAATCATTCCCGAAGGATCATGTGACACTAAGACCGGAGTAATGGCTGCTGAAAATTCAGCTTTACCATCACAGGAATAAATTACATTTAAAAATGCATCAACATAGAAAACAGTTATTTTAAATTGTAATAATATTTTACAATATTACTGTTTTTACTGTACTTTTGATCAAATAAATGCAGCATTGTAAAGAGATTTCTTTCAAGAACATTAAAACCTTATACAGACCACAAACTTTGAACGTTAGTGTAGAGTATCTCACATAACCCTCCCCTCACACATAACAATCTAAGATTGATCGATTTACAGTCAAGTATTTACGATTTGCCAGTCAAGCTACTCTTCACATACAGTATAACTGTGTGGTTCTCGACCAAAAGAGGCAGCAAAAAAAGGTCTAGACCTTCTACCATCAGCGATCTTCGTTAAATTGTTTTAATAGGACAAATACAATATAATATACAAATTAAATAAGCAGTGCTTTAATTTTTCAGCTATAGGTCTATTTAACAGTAAGAAACTGAATAGTCAAATGTAACTATAAAACTGCATAGACTTCACTTTATGAATTAAATATGCATTGATGCTACTGAAGTTGAAGTGAAGTGAAGTCTATGCATTACATTTACTTTATAGTTCACTTGTCACACCATACTTAACGTATGGTATTGAAATATGGGGAAATACATACAAAACTAGAACCAATCCAATATTCCTATTACAAAAGAAGGTCATCAGATTAATTAACTATGCACCTTACAATTCACCAAGTAATTTACTGTTTCATCAATCAAAAATTTTGAAGTTTTATGACTTAGTTGATTTGCACACGGTAAAGTTTATTTACCAAGTCAAACATAATAAAACTCCTAAATGCTTGCAATTATTATTTAACCAGCTTTAAAGTAAATATAATCTCAGAGGACTATGTATATTTAACCAACCACAAGTGCATTCTACATTAAGAGAACACTGTTTATCAAATAAAGGAGTTAAATTGTGGAATAGTTGCTGTAATGAGTTAAAACAAGCCACGTCTATTTTTCAGTTTAAACAAATTTACAAGAGATTAACATTGGGAAAATATTCAATAGAATGAAAATTAATTAAATAGGCTTGCTTCTGGTGTGGACAATGGTCCACTAATGTGTTAATGTTAATTTTTATGAACAGATGTTGTCATTAATGAGTTGCATTTATGATTCTAAAGTTAAGGGCAGGCACAATAAGCTTTAGCTTCTGCCTGCACCTGGTCATCTATAGTGTTTATGTTTTGAATGATTTGATTGATTGAATGATCTGTAAATGACCAAACCGAAATAAATGAAATGAATGAATGAAGTTATTCAGTAAAGAGCAGTGTGTGATTTTCTTTTTGTCTTTTATTGTTTAACATTACTGAGACAAATGTCAGCAGGTAAGCTGCTGTCACCTAATGCACAGATTCAATACTGACACACATCCGATTTTCTCCCTGCTGTTTACGTTCACTTAAGATATATCCGACTGTGAAAAAGAACTTAGTTCAGTACCCATAATCACTCTAATAGTTAGACAAAGTGGCACAATGTTGGCAAATAATCTGCGCAAATCAGTGGAGGTGCAACCCGCAATATCCATAGAAACAGTGATCACAACTCTGGAGAACTGTGTGTCTCCATTTACAGGTAAAAACACACTTTACAAACTTATATACACACCTGAAATGTGCAGATGTGCAGTTGTGTTTTATTTCCAGACTATTAGTATATTCTGGTAGCTTTAATGTAATGTAGCTTCAAATGTAAATAGCTCCAAGGAACAGCATGTTATCTTTCTAAGGAAAAACAGTGTGACAACAGGTCCTCACTACCTGACTGAACTAATGACCTTAAAACCCATGAAACAAACACACTGCAATATCACAACCTGTTACAAGAATTGCAAAAAATGGCAATGTTCTACTCAGTAAGCCTTATCATTAACAAAGTGAAAACTAGCAGCTTGGTTTTGTTACTGAACAGACCTGAGACAACAATCTAAAGCCTGACAATTACATTCATTATGGGGTTTTAGACAAATAGAAACTGCAAGCACCTCAATGAAGACAAGACCTTTAGTTTAAATGTGAGATCTAATCTACACTTCTGTAAGTTATACATATGTTGAAATCATCACCCCTGCTGCATACTGGCTTAAAATAGTAACATCTCAAACCTTCCTATTAAAGTCTGAAGAATACAGTTGTGACTCATATCACCGCTCAAACCTCAACATGTCTGACAGTAACACAAATATTGTAGTGCACATAAAGTCTAACAGAGCATAACTTCCCAGCACGTTTCACTTGTGTCATTTCTTTTTAAGTACACAATCCAATGAACTTAAAATACCATCTAAGCACTAAAAATAACTAGGTGGTTGAGATCTGTAATGCAAACCATTGGCTAATAAATGTGCAGTTTATATTAAACACTAATATTGCAATAGTGCAGACAGAAGACTCAGATCTGACATTAGACTCACTGAGTTGTCTAAGCGTGTCGTAACACGATGCTGCTGGTTTAATTCACTGTCTCAGAGGGCATACGCGCAAGATCATGGAGTAGTCGCTTTTTTTCTGAGCTCCTCTCCGCTGACGCTAGATTTTGAACGTCTTTGTAATTAAAGTACCGTCAAACCACTTTACAGTCGATAAGGACATTTTGAGAGTTACCTTTTGTCAGTTGTTTTGAGTACTTTGTGAAATTTAAGTGCGTTGGGTGTGATTTTCGTTATTTCTCTGACTCATTCTGTGTACTCAAAAAAGCGTCTAAGAAATCTTTAAAAACCATTACAGCTTTTAAGGAGGACGCCAACCCAGGTGATTCTATCTCACAGGGAAGAGTGAATGCGATACTTGCCACAATCGGTGGCCAAGGAGATGATTTGAAAAAGCTGATAGAATACAAGATGACAACTTTAAGTGCTCGCTTAGAGGCCACGCTGGTTATCTTGCAGTCAGAACA